TCTTTCCCTTAGGATAACAGGTCAACTGTCATCTTTCCACATCAGAACTTCCAGGGATAACCAACTCCTCTCATTACCCAGCCTAACACTAAGCAGGATCTTTGCCCACATCCTTCAGTTGTGGGCGTGTCCATGAAGGTAGCACTTCTAGGTTATTTAACACAGCCTCATATTTATATGAGAATATGCAATAAACTTGATCACACTGTGACTGTACCCAAGAGAAGAGTTCATTATACAGAAGACTTTGCGAGGTAGCAATAAGAAATATTGAACAGCCAGAAAATTACTCAAACCTAAGGATCTTCCAAGCAGTATCAATAAATTGAGCTAGTAACTGAAAACCAACAGAAAAAAATATACTCCCCATTTCTGAGGAAGAAAGCATTTACAGCCTTGACAAAGTAAGACCTAAAGTCCTCTTTTTATCAACCTGCACAATATAGGACTGTTGAAAATAATTACGAACTATAGAGAACATGAAGGAGTACTATCCTTGTCATCTCTAAGAACCTTAAACAGGACAAGATAAATCCAGATTAATCAAAAGGAAGTCACCCAGTGTAACGGTTCTTTAGGTTTCTAGTGAAGATCATCTAGTAGATACTAGGTTAACTTCAGAGCAGCTATGGTGAACTTACATTCTATTTCATTATCTCGGTGGTGCTTGCACCTACTGAAAGGATATGTCACTGGTGATCCCAAGCAGAGTAGCACAAAATATAGGACTACAGCTATGAATGTTTTTGTTTACCAAATCAGAAGGCAGTAACAAATCCAGAATTCCTCCTTAGCAAACCCTTAAGGTAGAAGATTAAATAATCTCTAAAAGCCTAGGATCCAAGCAAAAGAAGCAAGAATGATCATTTTAAGAACTAATTAGTCTTTAAAGCAATTAAATGCCAGATTGTGATAAGTCATAACCAAAACAGTTAACAGTGCCAGTCACAAAGATGCATCTTATCGATGAATCACATGAAGCCTTACAAACAAGTTTGTCCTGTTAGATTGATCTCTGGGAATTAACTGAAAGACATATAAGTAGGGGTGGTTATTTCAATATCAGCAGTTCAAATCTTTCTCTCTGTTCTTTCTTCCTAGTCATATGAAATTACTGATCTCCAAGAGAAAGCAAGAAGACTTCGAGTAAAACATCCTCCTTTTTCATTCATACCAGATCAGACCAAAACTCAGCATCTTGCTTCCAGCAGTGGCAGCCACGGATACACAGCAAAGAATAAGAAATGGGCAAGCATACACAATATACCCTCCTGCTACCATCCATGCTCCAAATCCAGGTTACTTCCTGAGACAGATGTGGTTTTGTGCATTTAATATTCCTCAGGAGACTCCTCTTCAAGGCACCTCACCAGTATCCCCTTGAGCCTATCTAAACTTTCAGTAAGAAAAGAAGATTTGATCTTAAAAGAGTTTCATAGGCCTGTGAACATGGCAACATCTCCTCGCATCAGCAATTTTGATGAGAGATATTTCTAAAAGAAAACTCTACACGTTGTGGAACAAACTAAAGTTTCAGGCTGTCAGTTTTTTTAATTTCATCAGTTTTTAAAAGATGCTGCCATACAATTCTTTAAAGTACCTTCTCTAGTTTAGGTGAGGCTGCATTTCAAATTTGCAATTATTCTAAGGTTTGTCTAAACAACACACAAAGAACTAGAGCAGTAATAAACATTTGATTGATTTTTGAGTGAGTGGGTACATAGCAAAGTAGTAGAATACATTTAACAGCAAACAAAACAGGAGCTTAGAAAGTTCCAATTAGCAGCTAGTCAACTGTCAGACAAACCCAAAATTTCTAGTTTTAAGAATCAACCACTTTGTACTGTTAAATCCTACCTACTTCCTAACCTCAACAATGAGAGAAGATGAACTGTTTCTCAAAATATAAGGAAAACCATGACATTTTAGACCAAAGGTCTATTTATTGTCTTAGCCAGTAGTAGATGCACAGGAAAAAAAAAAGATGCAATCATAGAATATCTCAAGTTGGAAGGGATCCATAACATCATCATATCCAACACTCTGCTTCTTGAATCACAGAATGTTAGGATTTGGAAGGGACCTCAAAAGATCATCTAGTCCAGCCCCCCTGCCACAGCAGGATCACCTACAGTAGGTCACACAGAAACGTGTCCAGGTGGGTTTTGGATGTCTCCAGAGAAGGAGACTCCACAACCTCCCTGGGGCAGCCTGTGCCAGTGCTCCATCACCCTCACAGTGAAAAGGTTTTTCCTCATGGCTTTTGTGGAACCTCCTGTGCTCCAGCTTGCATCCGTTGCCCCTTGTCCTGTCATTGGACATCACTGAAAAGAGCCTCGCTCCATCCTCCTGTATGAATTTATACCCTTTATGTATTTATAAATATGAATGAGGTCACCCCTCAGCCTCCTCTTCTCCAAGATAAAGAGACCCAGCTCCTTCAGCCTTTCCTCATAAGGGAGATGTTCCACTCCCTTCAGCATCTCTGTGGCTCTGCGCTGGACTCTTTCAAGCAG